AAACCGTGAACATAATCAATTAAAAATTAAATTAATTTCGCTGTATATCCGCATCATTTTTTTTCTTCAAGAGCACATATACAAGCGTGTAGATTTCGCACCTTTTTTACTTTTTAGTAAATAAGGTGATTTTGTCTTGATATCATGCATTTTGTATTGTTGACCGTAAAGCAGTGCTAAGTTTCTCTACCGTAAAAAGTTTTTATTTGAAATAAATTATTACACTTTATACTTTTACTTTTTTAATTCTTTGGAATTAAATTTTAATTAATTAGTTGGAATAATAAAATATAGATCACTTTGATTGAAATACCTTTACATGAGAATAAAAAGCTTTAATATATATCACTTAAGCCTTATTTTTAAGAAATAAAAGTTTGTAGTACGTTTGGAATATAATTTTTTGCACTTTGGTTTTATTTTTTAAAGAAAGTAGTACGACAAGAATGTTTGAAGAAAATGTACATATGCTTGTACTTAATGCAATTTAGAGATTTCATACATTTTTTGAAAAAATTGTATATTTGAATTAAATAAAATAATATAATTTTCTGATATCATTATTTTATAAATAATGTTACGTCCAGTGGATTACACGATTTCTTCATTTAGCAAACATTCCATAAAATAATCAATAAAGTAAAGCGAGAACAAATTCAATCGGTAACACGAATCTGAAGAACGTATCATCAAAAATTTTCATAGCGGATATAGAATAAGTAAAAACCATACTTATTCGAGTGATTCGTGGCAATAAAATTTATGTAGCATGAGCGCATTTACAATCAGGCATTGAGATGAAAAGACGCCACAATTTCCCTTCAGGCGTCGTGGAAAAATAAATCATTAAATAATCATGATCAAACCGCGTCATTGCTGTCACCGAGGTGCTAAGCCGAGACCGGGAATCGATTCCCGCGATAATAAGAATTCCTAAAGAAAAACCCTCTTTAAAAAATATATATACAGGGTGTCCCATTTTAAATAACGGATAGGAATATCTCGGATGGTAAACATTTTGGAGAAAATTTGTTTATACAAAAGTTGTAGGGTACAGACAAGGCTAACTTATGATTGATCTTGATCTTGACGATGACCTTCAAGGTCATTTCAATATCAAGTCAATTGTTTCAAATGGAACCCCTTATTTTTTAACCCGGAAGTGGAAAGAGCGGAAGATTTCACGTCCGAATATGACCTTGACATTGACCTTGACCTCGATCTTCAAGATTATTTTAAGGTCAAGTCGATTTTTTTTTAACGGAACCCCTTTTTTTTACCCCGGAAGTGGAAAGCGCGGAAGATTTTACGTACAAATTTTAAACGATTTCGGTAATTTAATATAAATTATGCTTATTAATGATCAACTGAGTAAGATTCTCTGAAGAAGATCGAAAAAGATCGAAAAAAATGGGAGTTAAGTATTTTTGAATGATAAAATGAAGTGAATCATCAGCAACGTTGGAGTTTGATCGTATGGTGCGGTATTGTCAATGGAAACTTGATTGGACCTTATTTCTTCGACGAAAATGTAAATAGTCACAACTATTTACAATTTTTAATAAATGATTTACCGAAATTGCTCGAAAATGTTGATCTACACACGAGAGTCCGCATGTGGTTTCAGCAAGATGGTGCACCTCCTCATTATGCCAGGATAGTTCGTGACTATTTAAATATCAGATTCACGAATCAATGGATAGGACGTGGTGGATTTGTAGAGTGGAGTCCGATATCTTCAGATTTGTCTAATTTGGACTTCTTTTTGTGGGGCTATCTGAAAAATATTGTCTACGCTGAAGCACCCACCACAAGACAAAATATGATGGAACGCATAACAAGCGCACGTCGCAACATTCCAAGAAATGTTCTTCTTGCAACCATTAGAAGTTTTCAAAATCGCATTCAGTTATGCCTTGATAATAACGGTCAATTATTTGAACATTTAGTTAGATAAATTTGCTTATGGAGTGGACTTTAACATGAGGTCAGACATTAAATCTTGAGGTTGATAACTAGATGATACTCGACCTTGCCTTAACTGGCTGGGTAACTCCTCTATCTTGCCTTAACTGGCTGGGTGCCCCCATGTGTCTACCTTCTCGTGGTGGGGGTGTTGTGGCTTACGATCCGCTCGGGCTATATTAGCTCAGGTACAACCATGCTAAATGCATCTGGGTGATTCCTTTATCTTGCCTTAACTGGCTGGGTGATTCCTTTATCTTGCCTTAATTGGCTGGGTGAATCCTCTATCTTGCCTTAACTGGCTGGGTGCCCCCATGTGTCCACCTTCTCGTGGTGGGGGGGTTGTGGCTTACGATCCGCTCGGGCTATATCAGCTCAGGTTCAACCATGCTAAATGCTGGCCGACAGGGAGGTCCAAATTAATGGACACAAACCGAAAAGAACTATAGAACCTCACCATAGAGCGGTGAAGGAGCACTTGAAGGTAGCGGTGAAGATCAAGGTCAAGGTCATATTCGGACGTAAAATCTTCCGCTCTTTCCACTTCAGGGTTAAAAAATAATGGGTTCCATTTGAAAAAATTGACTTGATATTGAAATGACCTTGAAGGTCATCGTCAAGGTCAAGGTCAAGGTCACCATAAGTTAGCCTTGTCTGTACCCTACAACTTTTGTACAAACAAATTTCCTCCAAACTGCTTACCATCCGAGATATTCCTATCCGTTATTTAAAATGGGACACCCTGTATATACGCCAAGTGCATGAACAAAAAAATATCGATTATTATATTCCAGTAGGAATAGAGAGTCTAACTCAAGTGAGCGTGGGGCACCCAGTTGGACACGGCTCAATTGGACACTAGCCACTCACAGCGCTTGAGACTACAAAGCTCCTAAGCACCGGTCGCTGTGATTAATGGTGTCCAATCGAGCCGTGATCAATCGGGATCACCTTCTTTGTATCAGGGCGCGATAAAAAGTGGCACCGCTACCATTGCGCTAGTAATGCCGACTCTCGAACCGATGCATCGAGAACCGGTTCTTTTTGTTCTTGAAAAATCGATTTTAATTCGATTGTTTTATTTCTCGATTCTTTCGGAATCGATCCAATTTTTCAGAGAATCGTATCGACGATTCTCAATTTTTACTAATCATTAATTTTGAAAAGAAGGAAGCACGAAGCTATTGTATGCTGCCAATCACGGCACCTAGAGCTTTGCTACTGCTCTAGCGCAATGGATCAATTACAATAAGACTGATTCAATATGTGATTGGTCGGGGTGATCCCGATTGATCACGGCTCGATTGGACATCACCAATCACAGCGACCGGTGCTTAGGAGCTTTGTAGTCTCAAGCGCTGTGAGTAGCTCGTGTCCAATTGAGCCGTGTCCAACTGGATGCCACCCGATTGGTATATTATTGGTCGGCAGTCAGAGTTGGCAGTCGGTAATTTGCAGAGTCGGTAATCTGATGCGTACTTAAGTAACATCATTAGGCGCATTCAGTACTACAACCGCTCACTAAGCGCTCGGTGAGCTCTTGCATCCGATTGACATATTCCGTTAAATCTAAAAATATAGAGGGCCACTTTCACCATCGTCAGTTCACTTAACCTAGTAACTGTAATAAAATAGAAAGAGATAGAACTATTTCTATCTCTTTCTACTTCGTTACAGTTACTAGGCTGGTTAACTTATTGAGCTTGGTGAAAGTGGCCCTAAGACTAGCATGACAGAGAACAAAACGGTTATGTTTGTAGTGTCGAGAATAAAATAGCAGAGGAAAACGTAAGTCATAAAAAGTTATTAGCTGTATTCCGTTATTCACTGCAAATACTGAAAATCTATATAGTTTACATTATGTATATTATAGATTTTCAATATTCGCAGTAAATTACGGAATGCTATTGTGTGTGAATGTAATTATATATATGTCGCATATATCCAGTACAAGTTTAAATCATTTTAAATATTAAATTTTTAGAAGTTCTTGATATTATCTTTATATTATCTTTGTAAACTGTAGGTCCAGAGAAAGTAAAAAGCATCAACTGACAATGTCAACAGGCACTATTTCAAAAAATATTGCCAATAAAGTGGCATCTAAATCTGATAAAGACTTGATTAAACAGTATTTCATTTTCCATGATGCAATATCAAAGCGTTGCACGTTGTGCAATAATATTTACAAACATCACAACAATACGACAAACTTAAAAAACCACCTGAAGCGAAAGCATAAAGCTGTAATAACTCAACAAAAAGATATTACATCTGAAAATAATCATGTCATCGATAATCCTGATTCTGAATCTTCGTCATGCAGTCTGCAGATTGTCGAAAGTGATACAAGTAATATGAAAACACAGACTTTAACACAAAAGCAAGTTCCGATTAAAAAGGCTTTTTTGAGGATAAGTGAATATAATGGTAAATTGTTTAATGTTGTATTTTTGTAATAAACAAATTTCTAATTAAAGAATAAAAACTTTTTCTCTTTATATCAGAATAAACATTGTAATTACTAAAATATATATGAATTTAATGTCTACAGTTAATTTTACTGATTCTTGTTTGTTACTAATGTCAAAAAGAAAAGCAATTTGAGTGGCCAACATTGAGATAGTAGTCAACATTGAGATAGTAGTCAACAATGAGAGTAGGAATCTTATATTATCATACTATTTTATATTAAAAATGAACACAAGATTAAAGTATGCTAGATTTAATATTAATCTCTTTTTAATAGAAACAAGTTTTCGAGTGACTAACTTTTTTTACAACAATTTTTTCTAATAGAAAGTTTAAATTCATTATTTTTAAATTTCTTTCTTTTCATACTATTTTTGGCAAATTAAATGGTAAATAACTCTCAGTATTGATGTATAACTAAATTCGATACTGTACTTAATACATTTTAATTAGATCTGATAAATTTAAATCAAATTAAAACATTTTAATTCAGTTTAATGTAATAAACCGAAAACCAAATCCGTGTTACAGATGGTGGTAGTAAATCAGGACAAATCACAAACGCCATCACAATTCACATTTACGATTTCCAAAGACTTACAGCCAATATCCATCGTAGAGAATGAAGGTTTTCAACGATTATTCAAAGTTGTTGCGCCGTTATACACTGCTCCAAGTAGGATGACGATTACAAGTCGCATTGATGAGAAATTTGTCGCGCTAAGTTCGATTGTGAGAAACAAATTGACAGGGATTGATAACATTGTGCTGACGTCGGATATTTGGACGGACAAGTACAATAGCAAAAGCTATATGTGCCTTACTATACATTTTATCGACAATATAGAAATTGAATCTATTAATCTTGGAATTCGTCTTCTAGAAGAAGCTCACAATGCCATTTATTTATCGGAAATTATAAAATCATTTTGTCATGATTGGAACATCGATCTGAGTAAAGTAATGGTTATGATTACAGATAGTGCTGCTAATATATCGAAAGCTGCACGCGATACATTTGGACAACATTTGTCATGCTTTGCACATTAGCTCAATCTAGTAGTCGGGGATGCAATTAAATTAACTCCTGAATTTAAAAATATTGTGGCAAAAGTAAAAGAAATTGTAGCTTTTCTTAAACGACCGATAAAAGCAGCCGATGTGTTAAGAGCGCTTCAGATGAAAACGAATCCCAACGATGACCATCTTAAAGTGATTCAAGAGTCTGAAACTCGGTGGAACTAAATGTTTTATATGTTGGAAAGATTTTGCAAACTATCCGAATATATTAGTACTGTCCTGTTCAAATATTCAGACTTGCAAATGTTATCTCACTGCGATATAATATGTATATATATCACACACACACACACACACAAAGAATCACTTAAAATTCTCTCCCCCATAGAATCCGTAACTGTAGAAATGTCAGGTGAAAAGTATGTTACCGGAAGTAAAGTTATTCCGATTGTTCATTGTTTAAACAATATAATAAGTCGTTTAGATCCATGTAATGCAATTGCAGAAAAATTGGAAAATAACATTCTAGATCAGATAAATATGCGATTGTATGAGAGAGAGAATTCCAATCAAACATCCATACACGGAGAGAATTTTCTTTTAAAGTTTACCCTGAAAATATTGTGATTGTGGTACAATACAATATTTTAAAGATTTTTACCATGCACTTCAGTAAAATTGATTAAACTTATTTTATACTTTATTGTAGTTTTATTAATGAATGAGAGAGATTTATATTAAAATTCTTCGAAATACAATGTTGTCCCACGATTGATGTGGAATTTTCATGATAAATTAGCGTATAATAACAATGCTAAAAACTATGGAGATGATTCAGCGGGTATTCCCATTGAACTTCGACAGTTTTTAAACACTCCCGTGTCACTTCGAGAAACGGACCCTCTACAAGAATGGGAAAAATTAAAGTACGTATACCCAAGTCTGTTTAAAATTGCAAGGAAATTCCTATTAATTTTAGGAACATCGGTCTCATTTGAAAGATTGTACAGCACCGCGGGAAACATTATTTCTGAAAAGCGTAGTAGGTTATCTAGCAATCGAGTCTCAACGCTAATTTTTCTCAATTCTTTAAAGAATAAATATTGGAAACTGTGATGTAGGATAAATAAGGTTTAAACAAACTTTAATAATTAAGGATTCAAAACATTATTTTATTTTAAGTTAATTATTCTCAAGGAATAATTTAAATGTGAGGCAATTTAAATGTGATCACCGCGCTTATAAAGAACACAATAAAATTTTTATTGACTGTGATTCAAGTCAGGGACATATAAAAACTTAAGACAGTAAGATGTAGCAGTAAGCAGATCGACCAATCACGATAGAGTTACTTTATATTTTCTGTTGTGATTAGATACGATTACTGCTACGTCTTACTGCCTTATGCGTCGTCTACAATGGGCAGTAGCAGTAGTGGATTAAAGAGTAGGTATAAAAATCAACAAATCGTAATCGAATGTGAGGGAAATAATTACCTATCATTGGTCGATTTCTACGCCTACTCTTTAATCCACTACTGTTACTGCCCATTGTAGACGACGGGGTGATCCCGATTGATCACGGCTCGATTGGACACCATTAATCACAGCGACCGGTGCTTAGGAGCTTTGTAGTCTCAAGCGCTGTGAGTGGCTCGTGTCAAATTGAGCCGTGTCCAAATGGGAGCCATAGACGACGCATTATGTTTTTATAAGTGCCATGGGCTTTAGACTTAAGTCCACTATTATTTATAAAATAAATATTATTATTTTAATAATTCATTTAAACCTAATTTGTAAGGAGACACGAAAAAAAATTTTTTGA